ACAGACCACACCTGTCCTCCACTCCAGGTCCCCTCAGCCACAGACCATACCTGTCCCATGCTCCAGGTCCCCTCAGTCACAGACCACACCTGTCCCATGCTCCAGGACCCCTTGGCCACATAGTACATCTGTCCCCCATGCTAGGTTTCTTCAGCCACAGACCAGCAAGTGACAGGGGAAGTGACAGTTGTGGACAGCTGGGAGATCACTGTCAATATAAAATTTTATTTTAAACCAAACTGCATTTTTAACAACCAAAATTACATGGAAGGTTGTTAATCTGCCCAGTGTATCACTAAGGGACAAAAAAAGCCATTTGGCAGTCAGTGAAGTCAGTGATTGGAAAAAAGATCCTGTTACCTGTTTATTCTTAGATTGAGACTGATTAACAATCCTCTCTGGGGCTCGGTTTTCTCCTCCTTCGCAAGCAAGCAGTACTGGTCAGTGCTCCTCCAACAGGGGCGGAGTGCTGAGGGGAGTCGGGGTGGAGGGTCACAAAGACGTGGCTCAGAGCAGTCAGAGGTGAAGGGCTCCGAGGCTGAGTCAGTTCCCTACCCCCATCTCTGCTTTTTTTTTTTTAAAGATAATTTCAACTTTTATTATGTTTTTTGGTTTTCTCCCCAACTTTATTTTAGTTTTAAGGGTGCATGTGTAGGTTTCTTACATGGGTTAATTGTGCATTGCTGAGGATTGGAGTACAAATAATCCCATCACTGAGATAGTGAGAAGACCACCCGATAGGTATTCAACTCTTGCTTCCTTCCCTCTATTCCACCTCAATAGTCTCCAGTGTCCACTGTTGTCATCTTTATATGTGCTTAGTGTTTAGCTCCCACTTATAAGTGAGATCATGCAGTGTTTGATTTTCTCTTTCTGTGTTAATTCACTTAGGATAATGACCTCTAGCTACATCCACGTTGCTGCAGAGGACATCATTTCATTCTTTTCTTTTTTTTTTTTTTTTGTGGCTGTGAGGTATTCTACGGTATATATATACCAAATTTTCTTTATCTAATCCACCATTGATGGGCACCTAAGTTGATTCCATGTCTTTGCTACTGTGAATAGTGCTGCAATGAATATATGCATGCATGTGTCTTTTTGGTAGACGGATTCATTTTCCTCTGGGTATGTACCCAGTAATGACATTGCTGGGTTGAATGGCAGTTCTGTTTAAGTTCTTTAAGAAATCTGCAAACTGCTTTCCACAGTGGCTGAGCTATCTCACATCCCCACCAATGGTGTATAAGCATTCCCTTTTTCTCTGCAACCTCATTGACATCTTATTTGACTTTTTGATAATAACCATTCTGACTGGTGTGAGATGGTATCTCATTGCGGTTTTGATTTGTATTTCTCTAACGATTAGTGATATTGGGCACTTTTTCATATATTTCTTGACTGCATGTATGTCTTCTTTTGAGAAGTGTCTGTTCATGTCTTTTGCCCATTTTTCAAAATGGGGTTGTTGTTTGCTTGTTGAATTGTTTGAGTTCCTGATAGATTTTGGATATTAGACCTTTTCCAGATGCATAGTTTGTATTTTCTCCTATTCTGTAGGTTATCTGTTTACTTTGTTGATAGATTCTTTTGCTGTGCAGAAGCTCTTTAGTTTAACTAGGTACCATTTGTCAATTTTTGTTTTTGTTGCAGTTGCTTTTGAGGACCTAGTCATGAATTCTTTCCCAAGGCTGATATCTAGAATGGTGTTTCCTAAGTTTTCTTCTGGGATTCTTAAAGTTTGAGCTTTTACTAAACAATTATTTTAGATTCAGGGGTACATATACAGGTCTGTTATATGGGTATATTGTATGATGCTGAGGTTTGGGATGCAAATGATTTCATCACCCAGGTAGTGAGCATAGTACCTAATAGTTAGTTTTTCAGTTATTGCCCCCCTCTTTTCTTCTCGTCTTTAGTTGTCCCTAGTGTCTACTGTTCCCATCTATATGTCCATGAGTACCAATGTTTAGCTCCCATTTGTAAGTGAAAACTTGTGGTATTTGGTTTTTTGTTCTTGGGTTAACTCGCTTAGGATAATGGGCTCCAGTTGCATCCTTGTGGCTGCAAAGGACGTGACTTCATTCTTCTTTATGGCTGTGAGGCCCTGCTATGTTAGTGTCCTGCTCTTCCTTACTCCTCCAGCATTGAGGAACACTCGAAGCTATGATGCTTCAGAGTCATTGATCTGGGCTTTGAGGGATCAGAAGAGGTAGTTCCTCAGTTAACCAGAGAAAAAAAGGGATGCAGGTTATGGAAGAATTGGGTTTCCATGCTCTTAGAGTGACAGTTGGCCAAATTTCCATTAAAGATAGAAAGTAAAAATTTCAGGCTTTGTGGGCCATCCAGTCTTTGTTGCAAATACCCTACTCTGCCAGTGTGGCTGAAAGCCAGACATAGATAATATACACATGGAAGGGTGTGGCCATACTCTAAGTAAAGCTTTATTTAAGGACAGTAACATTTGAATTCCATATCATTTTTATATGTTGTGAAGTAATACATATACTTTTATTTCAATAGTTTTGGGGAAACAGGTGACTTTTGGTTTCATGGCGATATGGTTTGGCTGTATCCCCACCCAAATCTCATCTTGAATTGTATTAGGTTGGTGCAAAAGTAATTGTAATTTTTGTCGTTACACCAACCTAATAGTTTCCATAATCTCCACATGTGGTGGGAGGGACATGGTGGGAGGTAATTCAGTCATGAGGCCGGTTACCTTCATGCTGTTCTCATGATAGTGGGTGAGTTCTCACAAGATCTCCTGGTTTTATAAGGGACTATTC